AAAAATTACAAAACAGCTACATCATAACATTTTCGAACAAAATCTTAATATTTAACAATTTAAAATTATTTACAGGCATAAAGTAAAATTAAAATATATCAAATTTTAAAAATAATATATAGAGAAGTTACAAGGGCCTATCGCCTCGAGGACCGATCGGTCCCGTAGCATTGCTCTATTTCAAACCATCGTGCCCGACTGCCACGTTGAAAAGTCATCTCCAAATAATTAAGGACTAGTATGTGGCTGATCCAAGGATGGCACAAAGTTACGTCAGGATCTTCCTTATTCCAATTGGCTAAGAAGCTACAAAGTTGTAAGCAGACTTTGAAGGATTGGAGTAAGCAGCATAGAAGTCATAAATCCTCTGATGTTCAATTTCTCTTAAATGAGCTTGCTTTGCTTCAACAGCAGCCCATGGATGCTAACAATTCGCGAAAATAGAGGGAAATTATTCAGCATATAGATAAAATATGGTCTGAAGATGAGGCTTACTGGTTTCAACGTTCACGTGTCAACTGGTTGAAATTTGGGGATAGGAACTCTTCCCTTTTTCATGCTATTGCCTCACGAAGGAGATCCAGAAATCATATTGTAAAGCTAAAAGATGATAAAGGAAGATGGTTGCAACAGCCTGCTGACATCGAGCAACATATTTTTCACACTTTTCAAAATCTTTATTCTGAGCACAATACTTCCAACTATACTGACATTTTGAACCTTATTCAACCAACTGTTACAGATGAGATGAATTCTAAACTTTGTGCCACTGTGACAATGGAGGAGGTGGAACAAGCAACCTTTCAACTAGGGGCATTCAAATCACCGGGGCCGGATGGTTTCCCCGGTGTTTTCTATCAACGAAATTGGAATCTGGTGAGGACTCATATTTTCACTGCTATATCTCATTTCTTTGAACATGGATACATGTTGAAGGAATTAAATTGCACTAATATTGTCCTTGTGCCCAAAGTTAAGAATCCAGAGATGATATCTCAGTATAGACCCATCTCTCTTTGCAATTTTTCATATAAAATAATAGCAAAGATCTTGGCTAATCGATTGAAAGGGTTGCTTGATTGTTTGATTTCGCCCCCTCAGTCAGCTTTTGTGCCCGGCAGGATGATACAGGACAACATCCTTGTTGCTCATGAAGCATTCCATTCTCTCAAGCTCAGACGCAATAAAGGGTGTCCTTACATGGCTGTCAAACTTGATATTCGCAAAGCTTATGATAGTGTTCGATGGTCTTTCTTACAAGATGTGCTCCGAGCTTTTGGTTTTTGTGAGCGCTGGGTGCAGTGGATCATGCAATGTGTAACTACTGTTTCTTATTCTCTTATAGTGAATGGCAAATCCATGCCTTTGTTTTATCCAAAAAGGGGACTACGCCAAGGCGACCCACTTTCACCTTATCTCTACTTATTTGTCTCTGATGTTTTATCTCGCATGTTTAATGAAGCTAAAAGGCAGAGGTACATTTCCGGCTTTCAAATCAAAAGGGGATGTCCGAAAATATCTCATCTACTCTTTGCTGATGATACCCTTGTCTTTGGGAAG